CCGCCCTCGTTAGGTCATGTTTTCCAAGCCTCGCACAAGCCTTGTTGCCCTTCTCTGCACCCCCTCCAGCCCCTCCATGTCCTTCTTATACTGTGGTGACCAAAACTGGACACAGTACTCGAGGTGAGGTCTCACGAGTGCCGAGTACAGGGGCACGATCACCTCCCTCCTCCATCCATCGGAGAGCGTCCGTCAGCCTTTCAAGAAGGAATCGCGTCGGAGAGCAGGTGCCTTCTGCTTTCCGGGGCTTTGGGGGATGTTTGGTGGGGGAGTTGGATGCAGCCTCGTGCGTCTCGCTCTGCTGCTGAAACAAAATCATCTTTTTGGCCAGACAGGCTGCTCAAAGGAGAGGATCCGCTCCAAAAGTGCCACAAAGGCCGTAGAGAAAACTTGGTGGTTGGCTGATCTGACGTGAAGTTGCTTTACACGCTTTCGTGGCTCATTTTAAAGAACCCAGGAGGGGAAAAAAGACCTCGAGCCATTAGTCCCTGGTGCCCGTGAAGTCGGTGAGATCAGTATTGCAGCAAAGGAGGCGTTCCCAAGATTAGATTTTGAGTCATTTAGGTAGAGCTGTATTATTAGAGAGGAGAAACGTGCAATAAATATTTCAAACTGAGAGTATTATGCAGTTTTCTCTTTTTTTGCCACTTGTTTCCTTTTTTTTTCCCACTTCTTTCATTACTTCTGGTTTTGGAATTGATTCATAAACCCTTTTGCTAGCTCCAAGACTTTTTTGGGCGTGAAACTTGAAAAGTAAGTCTTAAACTCAGCCTTTTAATCTGAGCCTTTCCTTCTTGCCTTGCTGCAAAAAAAATCCCCCAAACCCAACAAACCCATCCCAGCGATGGGTGGTTTCTGTTCTTCGAGACTGGATTGTGTCACGCAGAGCCGGCCCGATGAGATTTGCATAAACCCTCCGGAGAATTCCTGCTTCTTTTTCAAGTTTGATGCTATTCAGCGAGAAGATTCATGTTAAAATAAGTACAAAGTGTCTCTCCTGGATCTTAGAATCGGAAAGAAATTCTTTTTTTTGGTGGGCAAGGTTAAAAACTGCAGCTGGCGGGGGTCAGTTCAGAGTTCCAACCGTTCCTTTTTGGACAAAATGGATTTATTTATTTTTTTTAGTTGCACTGTGAAATGAAACGAGAAGTGTGGCCCAGCCTGGCCCTGAATTTTAACGATAAAGCTAAAACGTATTTTTAAATTTTGCCTCGTTTTCCTCGGTGTTTCGGAGTCGTTTTACTGTGCATGATAGAGGAGAGCTGCTGAGCTTGCAAATAACTGATTTGAAATTGCTTTGAATAATTTTGCAGCTTTTTTTTTTGTGTGTTTCTTTGTACCTAATCAGAATTGATGTGACTGAAGTACAAATCTTCATAATAATCATGCATTTACTGGCAGTGATTGGAGGACCACCTTTTTGGCAATCTCTGGTAATTTTGTTCGTGCTCTTTATTCTGTCCTTTTTCATAAGTCCCGTAGACACCTGCAAGAGCCACCTGCCCGCACAGGGAAAAATCTCCCTTTTCCTCTTAAATGCAAATACAGATTCTTGGCCGGAGTTACCCAAACAAGCGATTTTTTGGGTATTTTTGGCGTTTCCAGGGAGAAAGTTCTCAAACGTTGCACAAAATAAAATTAAAGGTGCAAATTCCCGCTTCCTGCGAGAGGAGCTTGAAGGAATTTCGTGCATCGAAGCTGGCTCGGAGGAGGTGCTGAATCAGACCGAGGGGCTTGGGAAACGTTGGGAGAGCACGGGATAAGCAGCCGCAGATAATTTGGCCCGATTATCTGTGTAGGGGGGAAAAAAAGCACGTTGGGGTTTTTTTCCTTTTTTTTCTTTTTTCTGTTTTACTCTGTGTTTTTTTCCTTTTTTCCTTATTTTCCTTATTTCCTTTTTTCCTTCTTTCCTTTTTTCCTTTTTTCCTTTTTTCTTTTTCCCCTTTTCCCCTCTTTTTCCCTTTTTTCCCCTTTTTCCCTCTTTTTCCCTCTTTTTCCCTCTTTTTCCCTCTTTTTCCCTCTTTTTCCCTCTTTTTCCCCTTTTTCCCTCTTTTTCCCCTTTTTCCTTCTTTTTCCCTCTTTTTCCCTCTTTTTTCTTCCTCTCTTTCCTCTTCCTCTCTTTCCTCTTCCTCTCTTTCCTCTTCCTCTCTTTCCTCTTCCTCTCTTTCCTCTTCCTCTCTTTCCTCTTCCTCTCTTTCCTCTTCCTCTCTTTCCTCTTCCTCTCTTTCCTCTCCTTTCTTTTTTTCCCCCTTTTCCCCCCTTTTCTCCCCTTTTCCCCCCTTTTCCTCCTTTTTCCTCCTTTTTCCCCTTTTCCCCTTTTTCCACTTTTTTCCCATTTTCCCTTTTTCCCCTTTTTCCCCCCTTTTTTTCCCCCTTTTTAGGTTGACTCCCTATTTGCCTTACTGAAGCCTCGTTGGGCTGCACAAATAGCTTTGGCCAGAGAAAAAAACCCCACATGTGCCCACAGGAGTATAACTAATTCCTGGAAATAACAACTTCTCCAAAGCATTGATTTCCTGGGAGGCTTCCTTCCGGAGTGTCCGTCCCGTTTGTGGGCTTCATAAATCCTTAAGGTGGAGAAAGAAATCTTTAATTTGCGCTAAAAACCAAGAGATGGTCAAAAATTCCTGAAATGGAATTGAGGAGTGTCTAATCCGCTTCAAATAACTGGAGAAATGAATCCTCTAACATTGCAGGGAATATCTAGGAAAAAAAAAAAGAAAGAACTAACCTTGGCTGTCCCGGTGTTGCTACGTGTGCTTTCGGGCTTGAAAAAAACACCCAACCCGCCCCCGCAATTAATTCTGTAAACTGTGAAGTAAATGCCACGTAAAGAGGAGCCTGCGTAGAAAAAAAAAAGAAAAATAATGAGGCTACAAGTCAGCTGGTTGGTGTCAAACTTTGCCAGAACGATCAGAGGGGCCAACATCCCTGCGCAGCTGCTGCTCCGCCTTGCAAACAGGGATTTCTCAATTCGTTCCCTGTTGCCCTTTCAGTTTGTATTTCTTTTTTTTTTAAAATGAGGAAAAACTAAAACGCTAAAACAAAACCGTTCAGCGCAAGGTGATGCTTAGGCGAGCTGAGAAATCGCCCTCTTGTGCTATTTAAGAACTGAAATAACCTGATAAAGAACCCCTTGCGGCAAAGTCTTGAAATCTGTTCGAAGCTCGGGGTTGCAGCAGCGTTTGGCAAAGTCGGCTCCCAACAGAACAAACCCCTTGGCTGCCCAGTGCCGCGTTTCGCCAGAGAACAAGCTCCATCGGGTTTCCCGGCTCAGTTAAGAACCTTCCTTTTCCCTTCAGCTTGTGAGATATTTGGGTTTAATATTTAGGGACGAATGTTACTTACTGCTTGCAGAGCAAAATACATCACCCAGTCGCTCAAAATACGTCACCCAATCGCTCAAAATACATCACCCAATCACTCAAAATAGTTCACCCAATCGCTCTTTCCCCCCGTCCCAATCTTTTATGACTTTATCTGATGGCAAAATTGATGATTTGGTATTTTTGGGTTTGTTTTTACCTGGGGAGGGGGGGAACAATCCTGGAATAAGACACGGTTGTCTACTCAAACATTCCACTTTCTTAACGCTGACATGCAAAAGGCGAAACCACCCGCACAGGCTAAATGCAGAATTGTGTATTTTTGTCAATCGTTGCTTTCATTCGCTTTCTTTTTTCCCCCTCTGTGAGACATCGACTACCTGTGCTGGCTCCCTTCTTTCCGCCAGCGCGGATTCTCTTTAAAGCGTGTTAAAATGCTGCTCCACGAGGCTCCTGGAGCGCGGTAGCTTTCTGGTGGACGGTGAGTACGACCGCAGCTGCCACCCGCGTTTGGAAAATGTGAGTAAAGCGAGCGAGCCCACGGTGCAGCTTGTTGGATGCTTCACTTTTCCGTTTGATGTGAGAAAAGTGCCGCGAGCGCTTGAGGTTTTTATCCCGCGGCGTGATCTTTAGAAGCGTAAACACTTCAGAAACGCCAGGCAAACGTGGTTCTGGCCCCCTGTTCTTCCTCACGCAGCTTCAAACTGGGAGCACTGGGAGCTGCCCGGTTGGTTGTGGTGTTTGCGACCGGGCGCTGGCCACGAGGAGCCGTGTCCGCTCCTGGATGTGTTGTCCCTTACCTGCTGCTTCGCTGAGCCCTACGCTGCGCTCTTGGCCTGTCTGATTCCTAATCACGTGGATTTTTATTGGTTTTTTTCAAATCCCTCTTCGCACTGCGCAAAACGCCGGCATCTAGTCTGGAGGCCTGACATGAATTTTCTGGCAAATGATTCTGGACTTGCTCGAATCCAGGCTCTGGCAAGCGCTCGTCAGTCCATTCTTTGCTTGCTGCCACTTGTTTTTACTAACGTGTCTGGATTTGAGGTGGTTTTTGTTGTTTTTTTTTCCCCCAGACAAAACGTGGGATGCTCCCTGTACTGGGACGTAGCTGTACTTTCTGTGCAGTGCAGCCTTTCTCTTAGAATTAATTTCCAGGGCTTCAACAGAGCTCAGAGTTTCCTGCGAAAGGTTTGCCTGGTGATACCTCTCTGCAGCGGCGACAGGGTCTCGTGAAGCTCTGCATGTCCCCGACTTCAAGGTCAGCTCGTCACGTGGGCCGTGGTGACACGTGCAGACACAGCAGCCTTGGGACTCGCCGTGTAGCATCTTCTTATTCAAAAAGTCAGGGGCTGCAATGCCCTTTTGTAGGAAGACTTTTGAATATGATTCCCTCTTTCCCGCTACTCAATTTTTTTCTTTTTTTTTGCCTCCGTGCTGTTTGCTTGCCTTGTGCTGCTTCCTTGTGCAGCTTGGGCTGCGCTGCTTTTCCATTCTGTGTTCAAAGCAATTTAAGCAGGAGCTGCCTTTTTATACCTCTCTTTTGACTTCCCTCTGCCAAAATCCTTCATTTCCCATTATTTCTGCCAGGTAAGTGCTGTCTGATCCCTGTCACTCCTCCAGCTTCAGGGGGAGCGAAAAGGAGAGGGTTAATCAAGTGTGACTGGCCAGACTGGGTGTGCTCTCATCCTCCTGCCTTTCCTGGGCTCAGGTGTGTTGGCTCAGAGTTAGCAGCTGGGAGTTCACCGAATATTTTCTCCAGCAAGCTGGGGAAATATCAAGAAGTATCAGGCTTAATGTCTTTTGACTCCTGGATGAAGCTCGCCTTGGTTTTCTTCCCACAGAACAGCAAATTCAGCCCATTCTTTCAGCATCCACCCTTGGGTGTTTAAGCAGAGCACAAGTACCTGCCTTCGTCAGACCGAGGAGAGAAGTCTCCAGGACCGTTAAGGAGCGGTTAGTTAGCGATCTGCTCTTGCAGAGCCTGCCTCTTGGTTCCCTGTCATTATTCTTTCTTCGCTGTCTTCCAGAAGATGGTTTTTGACTTGACGGCGCAGCCTCAGTGAGGGAGAAATAACATGCGAGTGTCGTGAAACTGGAGTGGACACCGTAGCGTTGGGTTAACGGTTGGGCTCGACGATCTTAGAGGTCTTTTCCAACCTTGATGATTGTGTGAAACTATGCCAGCCGGCCAGAAGCCCACGGAGCAGGGCTTGAAGTGGATGTAAGGAAGAAGTTCTTTACGAAGAGGGTGGTGAGACCCTGGCACAGGTTGCCCAAAGAGGTGACGGAGGCCCCATCCCTGCAGACATCCAAGGTCAGGCTTGATGGGGCTCTGAGGGACCTGATTGAGTTAAAGCCATCCCTGCTCACTGCAGAGGGGTTGGACTAGAGGACCTCTAAAGGTCCCTTCCAACCCAACGTTTGGAGGGGTGATCTGCTTGCTCTTCCTTGGGCTGCCTCGGAGCAAGGTGTGAAGGGTTCAGGCTGGCTCTGCCTCTTCCTGGTGCCCTAAAAGAGTGAAAGATGAAGGGACTGAACGCGAGAGAAACCCCTTTACCTGCCGAAAGCTACACTGAGAGTGTAGCTGAAGAAAACCAGAAACAATTGGACCTCATTTGGGCTTCTGTACGTGGTTGGCCTCCTGGCTGTTGGGGAGCCAAGTGGGTTTGTTCAGTTGAGGGCAATGACTTCAGCTCCTGAGTTCAGAGCCCGTGAAGGTTTTTAGCAGCTCTGTACGTTGAGTTGGAAGCTTTTGGGTAGTTCTCTCTAAACACTCGCTGCTGTAACATGTTTCCTGTGGTTTATTTTTGAACTCTTTCTTCTTTGCTTCTAGTTTCTCCTGCTCTGCTTGAAACATTAAAAAAATGAAGAAAACTACTGTCTTTCAAAGCTGCCCGCGCTGGTTTTTTTTGCTTCTTTAGCAACCTCCTCCCGTGCTCACTGACCATGAGGGTCCTTCTCTGGCCTTTGCTTTCCTCGTCTTGCCCATAAGATAGGATCCAGTTTCTTGAGGGAGTTTCCCAAATCGTCTCCCGTAGCTCCTGCTTTTCCCAGTTGGTGAGTTTTACAACCGGCTTCAGAACAGGGCAGCGATGCGTTTCCCTGCCGCGGGAGAGCCGGGGGATTTAGCAGTTCTTAGCTCTTCTCTGCTTTTGGTGGCTCTTTTCAGGTAATCGAGGATAAGCGCAGCTTTCTGGGAAGCTCCATGGAAGGATTATTGGAAAAATACATATTTCTCTGCGCCTCGTAGAAATTGAAATCTCTGCCTAGCAGAGAAAGAAAAGCGAAGGTGGTGTTGGAAAGTGGAGTGTTTGAGTGCACCAGAAGTGTTGAGCCCAATTTTGGTTTCCTTGTGTGTATTCTGACTTTTTGTCTCTCTTCCATTAAGATCCCGATACTGAATATTCAGGTGAAAATATTCCCGGCTCTCTGCACTGTCGCAGGAACCATATTCTCCTGTACAAACTACTTTGGGGTGATCTTCACAGGTGGAGTTGGCAAAAATGGATCCACTATAGCAGTGAGTAGTTTGTTCTGTTAGTTACTAGGCAGAACTTGGTTTTCAGTCATTTTTTTAACACAACACCTCCTACATGTGAAATATTTTCCTTTCAGTTCCTCCCCGACTTGGGATAAAGGAGTTCATGCTGTCTGTGTGAGAATAGGAGTCGAGAGTTCTACAATTTTTGAGAGATTAAAAGTGCTCATGATGGTTGATATTTGCTTTTGAATGAATCATATAGTGTCAGAACTGCGTGGTTCTTGCTGCCTGAAAACTTATTTTCTCCCCCAGTGCAACAGTTCAGCCCTATTGCCCAGCTGACGCTCTCTCAGGTTTCACCACACTGTGTTCCTGTCAGCACCAGTGTTCGGAAAAACATGAGTTTAGTGTGATTTTGAGTTAGAAACCACCACGTGAGCGTTTGGCTCGCTTTGCAACGTGCGTGTTTTGTTCCTCTGACACTTTTAACTTTGTCTCGCCTTAGGGAACGAGCGTCCTTTCCCCTTTCCTTCACATCGGGACGGTGATCGCCTTAGCTGCCATGATCTACAAGAAATCTGCCGTGCAGCTCTTTGAAAAGCACCCCTGCTTGTATATACTTACTTTCGGTTTTGTATCTGCTAAGATAACGAATAAACTTGTGGTAAGTGCGCCAGAACCTCGGAGTTTCTTGTGCCTGAGTCAAACATTTCGTAGATTTTCAGGTTCTCTGGTGATTCCACTGGCTGAAACATCCGTTTGGGGGCTGAAGTGATACTTGGGCTTTACTGATTTTTGGTAGCTTGGAGGTGCAGCGGGGCCTTTCTTCTCTTTGAAAGAGGAGTGATAAACCTCGAGCTAATGCCACGGTCACACAGGCAGTGCCAGGACAGCTTCCACTTGCCCGAGTTCCATTTTTTTTCCCCCTTTCCCAGCTGTTCGTTCACACTTTTGCGGTGTCTTTCGTAGAATCCTCAATTCAGGTTAGAAAAAACCCTTGGGATCATCCAATCCAACCGTGAACCTACTCTACAAAGCTCACCCCAAAACCATCTCCCCCAACCCCACATCTGAATGACCTTTAAACACCTCCAGGTGTTTAAAGGGGGACTCAGCCCTGGGCAGCCTGTGCCAATGTCTCACTACTCTTGCTGGGAATTATTTTTTTCCTCATGTCCCTATGAGCTGGGCTGGAAGGGAGGTGGCCAAATTCCTCCTCAGCTGCAGAAGGGAGGAAAATTTGGGAGAAAGAGAGAAGGCATCAGAGTTGCTGAGGTTTGGAACAGTTGCTCGGGGTTCAAATTAAAACAACTGGAGAGAAATAATTGTTAAAATGAATGGGTTGGTGCTCGAGAGTGGGTGACTGGGAGGGAATTAACTGCTGCCCCGGGTCTGTAGAGGTGGGTCGCGTTGCCCCGTGAACTGGCTCGGGGTTAGATGTGACTTGTGATGGAAGGAAAGTTTCTTTCTCCCCCAGAGGAAGAGTTTGTGGGCTGGGAACCGTGTCAGGTTTTATTCCTGTAGCTACATTTTTTGCTCGAATAAGATTTCTTTGCAAACCTTGCGTGGCGTACAGCTCTAGACTTTCCTGGTTGAAACAGTGTTTCTGCTGCTACTTGAGTATTCAATATATCTCACAGCAAGGTGGCTTAAACTAGACCTTTTTTGGCTTTATACATTCACTCTGCCTTGGCTGGTGCACGTTTATTTCTTAAACTTCCTTTTTTCCTTTTCTTTTCTCTTTTTTTATTTTTTTTTAAATGTAGGTTGCACACATGACCAAAAGCGAAATGCACCTGTACGACACAGCCTTCATAGGCCCAGCACTACTGTTTCTTGACCAGTATTTTAACAGCTTTATCGACGAATATATCGTACTCTGGGTTGCCCTGGTAAGTGTGGCCTCACCTCATGCCCTTTCGCCCGTGTTTGCGTTGGGCGAGCCTGGCTCCCTTGTCTGGAGGGTCGATGGGTCTGGGAACCGATTTTACGGAGTTGATTTGAAACAGAATTCCTGCAGAGGTAAACACAGTTTGCTTGGTGCGTAGTTTAAATGGCTTTTAAAGCAACGCAGCAAATACTCGAAGCTTGTATTTTGAAGGTTGGTGTTGATGTCTTGTTAGCGAGGGAATAGCCGGCATGTGGTGCTTTGAGCTCTTGCACGCGTGTACATCTGGCATTAGCAGCAGCACCCGTTAGGAAAAAATATCTTCAGTTAAAACTCATACGTGCGTATCAAGCACTCGAGTGTTATCTACCAGTGTTAAGCTTTTAATAAAATTGATACTTTATGTATGGTTATCGCCACTCAAGAGTTCTTGGGGCATTTCCCAATATTTGCAGAGCTGCCACAACTGTTTTCCCTGCTCTGGCTCTAGAATGAAGAGTCTTACAAAGCTAGAAGAAAGCCCAGCTTGCCGACAGACGCTTCCTCTGCTGAGTGACGCTTCCTACAGAGCTGGAGATTTAATTTTTGAAAAGAGTCGTAGAATCATAGAACATCTTAGGTTGGAGGGGACCTTAGAGATCATCTCATCCATGGGCAGGGATGCCCTTAAGGAGGCCAGGTTCCTCAAGGCCTTGACCATCTCCAGGGAGGGGGCAGCCACAGCCTCTCTGGGCAATCTAGTCCAGAGTCTTGCGCCTCTCACACTGAAGAATTTCTGCCTCAGATCCAATCTAAACCCGTTCTCCTTCAGTTTAAATCCATTTCCCCTTGTCCTGTCGCTGGACACTCATTAAAAGTCCCTCCCCAGGCTCCCTGTAGGTCCCTTCAGGCACTGCAGGCAGGGATAAGGTGCCCCCGGAGTCTCCTCTTCCCCAGCTGCACAACCCCAGCTCCCTCAGCCTGTGCTTTTACTCCGAAGCACGCAGGCAGCGTTAGACTCTTGCAAAACATAGAGCCGAATGCATGGTGTTTGGTTTATTCTTTTTTATTCCCTTGGCAGATCCTTTCTCTCTTCGATTTGCTTCGATACTGTGTCAGCGTGTGCAATCAGATCGCTGCCCACCTGCACATCCACGTGTTCCGAATCAAGCCCTCCTCCGCGCATTCGAACCACCATTAGTTAACGGGGAGTCGCTGGGAGGAGAAAGAAGGAAGAGTCGGGTTTTCTACGCGACCGGCTGCGAAGATATGTGGGAGACTAAGGCAAAAAAGCAGATAAGAACAAAGTAATTTATAATAATCGATGTCGTATAACTTTTATTCTTCGTTATCGGTAACACTCCTTAACTAGTCTCCTGCCTGAGAGAGTGAATTCCGAGTACACCCTAGTCAACTCTACATGTAGTCAACTCTGTTGGTTCGAAGCCCGGGAAAGCATGCAGGGAGTAATGCTCTGTCTTTGTAATTACCTTGATTACAAAATAATCTATATATGGTGAATGGATTCCCAACAACTCAAGTTTCTAATGTAGTATAATTACAGCTGCAATACGACTCGCTTTTAATTTTAATATTTCATCATCTCTTAGTGAAATACTTGTTTAGTGTCCACTTGAAATTTATTTACTAAAGACCTGAGCTGGTAAAAAAAAAAAAACAAACCACGGAGATATCGCACTAGCTTGTGTAGCTGAAGCAGCTGTCAAGGTTTTGAGTCCAGACTGACGTGGTTCTTTTGCTTACGCGTTGCTGATAAAGCGGTTTCTTGCTAAAGAATAATGCGTTGAACATGGTTCTGCGAGCGGAAGGGGTGGCCGGCATGCAAAATAGTGTGGTATCTTTGTCGATTAATTTTATTTTTTTAAATAAACATTATCTAAAAAAAGACAACTTATTTCTCAATGTGTCTTCAGTGGAAAGACTTTGAAAAAAAGAAAATTTTACTGTTTACTTTTTTATGTATAAAACTTAACGCAAAATTTCCTTTCTGCTCTTAATAAATAAGAATTCTGAGAGCAACAGTTGTCTTCAGCTGTGTGTGTTGCTCTGTCCTGTTTTAGGAAGCAGTTTTCTGGCGCTTTTATGAGCACAGCGTTGTCGTTCCAGGATCTCCAGCAGCTTTCACGGCTACATGGTGCAGTAAAATAGGGGTGTTTTGTGTTTTTTTTTCTTGCTATTGCTGTTCTTAATGCCATTTCAAACGTGAACTGCATCAGGAAGGCTGAGCTGGGTTTGACCAGAGGGTTTAATTGCCAAGTGCCGCCGGGAGCTGCTTTGGGGGATGCTGGAATCCTGACCCTCTGCCCGTGAAGCGTCTCGCTCAAGATGGTAAGAAAATATCTACTGGGAGCCCAGAGCCACAGCAGCACCTGCGTGGGTCTCTTCTTTGCAGGAATTAGGCACAGCTCACTTAAAAATAAATTAAAACCGAAAAAACAACTCAGCAGCAATCGATCAAAACCTCACTTGGCCACTTCCTGTTGATACCCCAGGGATCAGAAAACGTGCTGAGGAAGCAGAGAGAAAAATTCGCTTCCTTCAGGGACTGGAGAGGTTTTTTAAACCCTTTCTTCTCACTTCCTGGCACAGTACCCTGGGTGGGGCACTCATGGACAGAGAGGTTGGTCTTCTGGAGCTGTGTCCCTGTGGAGACACGGGGCTGCTCGGAGGAGGAGCAGAGGAGGAGCGCGGCGCTGGCTCTGTGAGGAAGGCTCTGGGGCCGGCACTTTTCCTTGATGCTGCAGGAAGCAGAACCGAGATGCCGACTTGTGTGGCCGAGCATTTAGCACGTGGACATGCTCCGTCTTACATTTCTGTGCTTGGCAGCGTCTTAATTCCTTCACACGGGGTGATACGGTTTCAGCGAGTGAGTTGGAGGTTCCACCTCGGGGCTGGGGTGTCTTCAGGCCGAGGAGGAGATGATGTTGGCTTTGCCACGTCGCCCTTCACTCCCGGCCGTGTGCGTGCTTGTGAGCAGCTGCTTTATGGCTCTGGGGGGAGCCTTGTCCTGTGGGTTTATTGGGGCTTCCCGAAGGGTCTTGCCAGGCTGAGAGAGAGTTTGGTTCCCGCATCGTGACCACGAGGCAGGGGCACAGCCCTGAGCAAGCGTCCTGGCAACGTTACGGTTGGTTACTGGGAGCATCTCCAGCACGTGAGGTGGCAGCTGCCTCCTTAGTATCACGATTTTGGATACAACTGGAATTCTGTCTGGTTAGTTTTAATGGTATCCACCTGGGGGAAGGGTTGATCCAGGTAGTCCAGCCTCTGCTGCTGCCCTTCAGGTGGCAAGAGAGTCTGCGAGGTGAAAGGCTGGAAGGATTTTAAGGTACCGAGGCCCTCTTTCACAAACCCAGTGCTTCTTTTCATCACCACAGAGTGGATGCAGAACTCAAGTCGTTTGGAAAGTGTCTCCCTGGAGTGTCAGCAAAGAGAAGAATGCTTTGTCGTCGGGGTTTTTCAGATTTAAACTGCTCCAGTTAAGTCGATCCTTGAGACAGGTGAGGAACTGAACTCCTTAAAGATTTGTCTAGGACCAAACTTTGATTTACAAACTGTGCCTACCCTAAAGCCTCTTGACATTCAGGAAATGCAGCAGGGCACCTTTTCCTCACCTGCAGCGGGTGAAAAGCTTTGAGTGCCCTCTGTGTTCAGCCAGCCAGGAAAAAAATTTCCCTCCTGATCAAAGTTTCAGTGTTATCAGGGAATAGCTCCTGCTCGCGATCTGAGCCATAGAAAGTGTTGCGCTGGACATAGGTGTTGTCTGAAGGCCTGTAATAAACAGTGGAATAAATTAACTTCACCCCCAGGTTACGGCACTCTCTTGTGACCGTAGGTTGTCTTCGATGTGCTTGTAGAGCTCAGGCTGCTCAGGGAGTCGAGAAAGGGGAAGGGAAGTTCTGTAGGCTCAGCCCGATCTTGTGACGTGCTTTTTCACTTTGTGTTGCGTTCAGGTGACACTTAGAAGGGAAGAGCTTTTGCAAGAGCAGCCTGTTGAGCTTCCTGGAACCCCGGCGTCCGAGTACACTCCCTTCAAAACCAACACAGCCTGTTCTGTTAAACGAGCGCTCCCCTCAAACTCTAAAGGCAAGCTGAAAATTTCCCCTTTCTTTCTTCTGCTCAAAGGAGCTCCCTTGCTCTGGCAGGGAGTGGAAGGCAGGAGAGAGGCAGCTCAAGAACACCTCAGGGCCTCTTCCTCTTTCCTCCCAGTGTCAGGTTGGTTTCACACCACAATTTTTCTCTCCTACTCCGCGTGCACCAGGTCCATCCTGCGCCAATGTGCCCCGTCGCTGAGCTGCAGAGAAGTTTAATCGTTTCCCGGGAGCAGGAGATGAAGCCCGCGGCTGTTTTTCAGAGGTTCTAGCCAGGTGGGAAGTGATCCGAGGTAGGAGCTGTGTCTATTAGTGGGCTGGAGCCATCTGAGAGCACTTAGCGTTTACTCTGGTAGGTTAAATACGCCCAGGACTATTTGTTGGCACCGAGGCCGGCTGGTGGAGGGTGACACATGCCGCAACACGCAACTTATCTTCCAAGCCGAGCAGCTGCAGAGCAGGGATCGAGCCGCAAATCGGCAGCGATTCCTGAGCCGGCTCCCGAACCGTGCCGGGGAGTTGTTTGTTCCGAGCGCGGGTTGGCCGATGCGACGCTGGGAACCGTGCGAACAATTCAGCAGAATAAATGAGCGCTCTCCAGTTCAAGGGAAAACATTTCTTGGCGCCGTTTTATTTACTCTTGTAGTCTTAGATCGAGCGTTCGACAAAATCTTGAGCAGGAAGAAAGATTTAAAAATACACCGCGGGTTTTTGCTGAGACGCTGCAACGTGACCGGGGCCCAGCTGGATCCTTCGTGCTCCGAGTGAGCGGCGCCAGCCACAAACCCAGTGATCCCCGCCTGCAGGCAGGTGGTTTGAGAGAGGTGGATGGAGTTGGAAGAGAGAACAAATAGGGTCTTTTATTCAGCATCTGCTCTTTCAGCACGGTGTCTCCTTTCTTCACCGATCTCCATCGATCCCACTTCTCGCAGCGTGCCCGCCTTCCGGGCATTAGAGGGAGGACATGAAAGCTCTCACCAGATTGCACGACTCTAGACAATAAGCGAGCGTAGTATCAAGCTGCTTTTCAATGTTCAGGCCAACCTGACTCAAGAAACCCTTAAAAGTTGCTGAGCAGGGACGACTAACGGCTTGCTGAAAGGGAAAGGGGGTGAGAGGAGCGTGGGAGGGGGAGATCTGGGGCTCTTGGGGTAGTTTATGTCCCTCGGCTTCTTTTCTTTCTTCCTTTCCAGCATCTTCAGCCACCACCTGTAGCTCTGAAGCTGCTGGGGTGAGAAGTAAGTGCCTGGTTGTTTCTGTTGTTCTCCACCTCCTCCTTCTGTCTTCGAGAGCCAACTGAGGAGCTTGGAGCTGCCTCGGGGCTTCCCCAGGGGATGCTTCTGGGACTGGGCACTGGGACTGGATCTGGGCCCCTTTTTCCATGAAAATACTAACAGGAAAAGTGCTTTAAGTAAGAAATTTCAACCTATTCTTTATTCCCAAAGGTAGCACCAACCCTTCCAACCTGCTGTAGTTAATCCTTGCCGACCCCTGGAGCGCAGGCTGCATTCGAACAATTGTGGTTTTTTTAAATTTAAGGCTCAGGTTTTGTGTATCTGTTTGCAGCAGATTTTTTTGTGTGTATGTGTATCTGTTGCATTTTTCTCTGGCAGGAATTCAGCAGCCACACAATCCAGTCCGTTATGTGACTGCTAATTCTTTTCTAAAGAGTTACTACCCAAGCAAGGGCCACTTCCTATTTTTCTCAGCAAGATGGTGTTACGCTTTGCAATCAAAAAGGCCAGTGTCTTTTCAAAATGGTAAGGAACAGGGAGGAGGAGGGGGAGAGGAGGGGTCTTTTCGAAAAAGACAATTCTTGACAGGTGCCCTTGATTTTACACACATGATTTTCTGCTGGTGTGTCAACTTCTTTAAATGCAAAAAAACCACACCAAAACACAGAAAAACACCACTAACCTTTAATTTCCTGTAGTTCAACCTGTTCACGCTTCTCTACCCGTGAGGGGGGGAACTCGTGGAGCGAGAGAATTGATCCGCGGTGCCAAAAATCCCCTCGGTTTGCTATCGAATAATAATTCCTGTTCCCACCCTCGGAACCAAGATTTTTCTTTCAGACTTGGCACCTCCTGTCCTGCCGCGGTTCTGTCGCGTCCGTCTGTGCGTGACTGCAGGACGGTTACTTCTGAAACAAACGCCCTTTTACATCTGGCCCGTTCTCTGGAGGTGTTCAACAGCTCCGAAAGTGAAATCGGGCCGGCAGGCAGCCTGGTTGTTTTTCGGTGTTGAGGTAAAAACTTGCCGTGGCATTCAGTTCTCCTGCAGGAGTTGCAAGAAATCATATTTCTGACGACGTCTGCACGTGTGCACGTGTCTAGCAGGCACTAAGAAATAGGGCAGCTTGGCTCCAGCAATCCAGAGAGGAGGAGGAAGCTCTGCCTTCGAGCTCGGCCCTTGCTGGGAGAAATATCTGGCCCTTGTTTGCCTGGGAAGGAACCAGGGGGCAGAGCCAGCACCAGCTCCCCCTGCCACATTTATTCCCTGCTGAGCATCAGCAAAGGGGGAGAACTGTAATTTCGCTTTAAATCTGCCACGAGTGTTGCATTTCAGAGGGTTTGAAGGGAGTTGGCATCGAGACCAGAAGCAGGAGGGTGTTGCATGGTTCGCTACTGGATTTAATTAATGCTTCTTCCCTCCCCGCAGCGGTTGGCCGGTCCTTTCCCTCTGCTACAAAACGCAGCCTTCGCGGCTTGCTTACAGCACAAATAAATAACCTGCTGGAAAAGAGTATTTTTCTTTCTTTAAAGAGCTAAACTGGGCTCTGAGCGGTACCAGTGAAATGCCCCCCGACTGCTGCTGCCCATATT